CCCCAAAACCCCAAAACCCCAAAACCCCAAAACCCCATTTTGTGAATCTCGTATTGAAATTCTTCTAAAAAAGAAATGGAATGCGAAATAAACCAATTAAAGTCTGTCTTCTTACTGTTGGTATCCACCACTTGGATGTGGGTAATACACTGGGTAAACTTGCTGAGAAGAACCCATTGGCATCCCACCTCTAGGTGCCATTTGAGGAGGGTACTGGCTCATTCCTTCTGAAGGAATATGAGCTGGATGCTGAGGCATCTGGTGCATCTGAGGTTGCATCTGATATTGTGGATGAGGCTGCATCATTGGCTGAGAGTACCCTGAGGAACTTCCTGTGTGATTCATCTGCATATTATTGTAGTAAGGCATTTGCATTGGGGCATGGTATGTTGCAGGAATCTGCATCATCTGCGGTTGCATCTGTCCTCCATATCCCATCATTGGAGCTTCATTTGATCCATCTTGATAATGCATGCCTGGTTGGGAAGGAGTTGGCATATTGAATTTTTGCTTATAGTCATAAGGGGCAGCATCAATATCAGTCTTTGGACTAAAATCATCCAATTTACTCCTTGTTTGTAGAAGTAGATCGTCTAGCCTGTCTTCAAAATTATTAAGCTCCATTGGTTCTTGGTGATATGTAAAAGTTTTTGGAGATTGATGATACATATTCGGTTTGGGTGGAGAAACTTTTTCATAATAAGATCCGTTTAAGCTATCTGGAGATTTCCTAAAACTATTTATATCCCTCATGTCTCTCATGCTATGGATATGCTCCATCTCAACAGGTTCTCTCATATGTCCTGAAAGTCTTGGTTGAGGTTCATCCATCGGTGCTGAGAATTGCTTATCAGGTAAAATAGGTGAGCCTTCCTTCATAATCTCTGGTGATGAATGAGGAATTGGTGATGCTTGATTAAAATCTTTCCTTTCACTTTGCTTTATCTCTAATTTTTCATGAGGCGTTGAACTTATTGTTGGCTTTGTCTCGCTCATGACTTCTTTAGGTTCGACTTTCCGAACAGGAGACCTCTGAACAGGCCCACTCAATGGCTTTGTTGCAGGAGTAGGATCATCTCTTGATACCATCCCTCCCATTGGTATCATTGGAGTTACAGCCTCTTTCTTCTTCTGAGGCTTAGGAGGAGTTCTTTGAAGGTTTCTTTTAGGTTTAGGACAATCATCTTCATTCACTCCTGAAAATATCATTTCTGGATTTGGTTTATTTTTGGCTTGCATAATTTTCTTCCTTGTGCTAGCTCTTTTTGCAAGTCTTTCCTTTTTCTCCTTTGCTTTGGCAGCTTCTTTAGCAGTCTTTTCTGCCTTTTTCTTCAAAATAACTTCAAAATCTTCACTTTTCTGTTGCTTATTTGGAGATATGCTAGTAGTTTTTGTTTTCTGTTTTTCACTTGAAAGATTTTGAGCTACGAATAAAATATAAAAATACCTTTTTCTGCTTGTTTCTTCTCTAATTCTTTCTTTTTGAGAGCAGTTTTGGACGCAGAGTCAACCTTCTGCTTTGGCTGCCTTGATTTCTTATGAGTGGCTACATTAATATGCTCAGGATTTGAAGGTCCTGAGTCTTTCACGACTTTTGTCTGAATTTTACTCGATTTATTCAATAAAGCATCAAGGTTTGAGATTCCTTCATGATGAGAAACTGTTTTCTTTCGAGACTGAGGCTTTTCCAGTTCCATTGTGGTTTCAGAATTTGAAGGGGAAAGTTTAAATTTCCTTGATTGATTCTTGCCCCTTCTTTCTTCAGGATCTGAGCTTCTATCATCAAAAGTTGCTGTATCTCCCACCGCTGGAGCATTATTTTTGAGACTGTATTCTGTTTTCGGGGTTTTGATTTGTCTTATTCTTTGATCTTTTAAGTTGAACTATAGCTAATGGATTTGAATTTACTGTTTGATTTACTGATTTCATTTAGTTGCTCTTTCATCTTTTTCCATTCTCTCTCTACATACAAAACTCTACAGTAGTCCTCAGCTAGAGTGAATGTTAGTATATATCAAATAGAAATGGACTATCTGAACTAAAATGCCAAACACAAATTTTCTAATCAAAATTGATGAAAACATACCAAATACATCTCCTTCTTCAAAATGCATGTCTTCGATATTTCCTTTGCTATCAATTTTAGCATTTTTGACTTTGCTAAACTCAGTTGATAAATTTTGGAAAGGCTCTTGCAAGTCAGCTCAGGCTTTAGAACCAACTCTAAGGAGATACCTCTCTTTACTCAAGCTTCTCAGGCTGTTTAAATCTGCCATCATCTCCTAAATTAATGAAGTTAGTGAATGGAATTTTATTTATTCAAAATACAAATAGAGGCAAATACATGTCTAAGATAGAGGATAACATCATTATTCCACTCAACAAAGTTTTCATAAAGGTAATTTGGCAAACTAGTCGTTAATCCATGAATCTCATGACTGGTATGATAAGAATGAGTTTATGAAGATTCTGGTTTTAGTGGTTTTTAAGATAAATTAGTGACAAATTCATTTCTGGTCAATTAATTTCGTAAATTCAGAAATAAAAAGAAAAGGAATCTTATTTCTATGATTATGATGTTCTTTGTAAAGCCAGACGAAGTTAGGACAGCATCAATAGATCTCTAATAGAAATATGACTAAAGCTGGAATATTTATCTACTTAGATTCTTAAAAGACTTATAATTAAAAAAGCAGAGAGCCTGTTTACGAAAACTATTATAATACCGACACTTGAGCATAAGGGCTCAAAATGATACCCTTTTTATCGCATAAGCATCGAAGCTGTGCTTACCGGGTTGCTTTGAATATTCCTTTTCATTTTAAATATTTTAATCACAATATTATTTTTAAAACAAGGGGTTTTGGGGTTTTGGGGTTTTGGGGTTTTGGGGTTTTGGGGTTTTGGGGTTTTGGGG